GGCAGAATTACTGCTAATTATAGATTGTTATGACCTGCAGTTTGAAAAAGTGAGCCCTTGGTTATTTAAAATATCAACTGATCACTTATGCCATCCAAAGAGCTTACTAAGTCACAACAGTTAATCAAAGAGATTAAAAAAAAAAAGACAATAAATGGTCAGTGAATGCTAATGGAACATTCATGGAAAGCACAAAGGTAGACTGTGGTGGGTTGTTTCATCTTCTTAGAGCACCCACTTATTTCCCACATGCTCCATGAAATACCCAGAGTTTTGAGTAGTTTTAAAGTGAATGGTGGGAAAGGCAAGAATTACAGATATACTTGCAAATCTTAAAATGCCTAGCCTATAACCATAAAAATCATTCTGATATGCTTAGTAAAATTATAAAATCATTTTTTCTGATTTATAAACTTCAAATCAACTATCAATCCATTCCAAACTTTCTTCATAAGTACAGCCAATGGCAAAAGAGAGTGAAAGCATCCCCCACAAGATTCTGAATGAATAATTCAAGTTAACTGAAACAACTTATAGGTAAAACTTAAGATGTTTCTTTGAAGTTGTAGCTTTATCTTAAAATTTTATGCGTATTTTTCAGTCTACTTCATAAAACACCTATGTTTGACTTAATGTGAAATAATGTTTTACATTACTTAAAACAGAACAGAATTGATATTCTAAGAAGCTGTGCCAACCTCTGGAGTATCTACATATCTCCAAGGAATATGCCCATGGAACTTGACAAGCACAGCCATGAGAAAAGTCCTTTACAACTATTAACTGTGAAAGGCATTACTGTTCCTATTATTTTTATCATAAGCATGCTAGTTTGGTAAAGAAATTAGCTAGGATGCCAATATGCAGCTGCCTTTTCTCTGGGGCATCTGCTCTAATGGTCAGATGCAGTGTGGTGAGGCCTGGCTGCTTACTTCAGGGCCAGGCCAGGCTAGGGATTCAGTCCTCCTTCCCTTCCTGGGAATTAGCACCAACCTGCATGTTTACCTTACTGCTTGTTGCCTGAGAGTATGGGTTTCTCCCCTTTAGAAACCTTAGTGTGTCTCAACAAATCACTAAACATAGGGTTTCTATCAAAGCCAAAACGTTAGACACTGATTGAGAATTTAAGTGCATGTATACCTGCCATGAGTTATTTACCTAACTGCTGATCAATTTAACTATAAATATTATCTTGAGAAAGAGAGAAACCAATTACAAATCAGCCCACACTTGAATCAATAATCCTTCCAAAAATGATTCATGAAATAAGAACTAGGTGCCCAATAAATCAATTAGATGTAGATTTAGGCTCTTTCTTCTACTCCAAGGCCAGGAAAGACAAGAAATTGTTTAGCAGTATGAGATGGATAATACCTGGTAAATTAGGGCATTCAAAGTCCTTTGTCTGGCAGAAGAAAATTGGTGAGTCTGTTATGACTTCCTCTCCAGACTCCAGAGTCCACAGCTGAAAAGGAAAAAACGTGCTAGAGCAGAAGAATTCACGCAGAAGACAGCTTAGAATTTAGTATTAAGATGGACATGAGTTGGTCCTAATTCAAATTTTAACTCTACCGCTTACTGGCTGTATAAATTTTAGGAAATAAATTAATTTTTCAGAATCTCAGTTTTCTCCTTTGTAAAATGAAGAATATAATACCTACCTCACAAGGTTGTCATAAGGATCAAATGTAATAGTATACGTAAAATGCTCAGGGTAATGCATTTGTATATGAAAAGTGGGAAATATAGTGTTGTGTTATGAGCATAGGTGCAGGAGACTGACCAGGATTTAACTCAAAGCTCTTCTGTTTATTAAATGTGTGATCTTAGGCATGTTTCTTAAACATTCTGAGCCTTGGTTTTCTTATCTCAAAACTAAGGATGCTAAAGCCTACACTATTAGATCAGTGGATAACATAGTGTAAGCACTTAGTAATGGTAGCCACTTGTATTACACTCTGACTTTATTTTTTCAAGTTTTCTGAATCTACGTGCTTATTAATGGAATGTGACTGGTAAACCATATTTATTCTGCTATTATCATCCCTTAATTACTATTGTGTCATAAAATATATGTGTTTACACTTAGCAATGAGTAAGAATGTGGACAGGAGTACTACTCTACTGTGTCAGTGCAATAGGAACTACTGGGAAATTGTATGGGGGCAATAGTCAATGCAAAATGCTTTGAGAAGCTGATAAGGAAAATGCAGAGTTGCTGGTGCCTGCCTCCATGAAGCTAATAATGCATTGAATGAAATAAAGCATGGCTGTTTATAAATTAGCGGGGGAGCTAAGTATAGTGAGCGGTCAAACAGAAGATAACAAGGTAAATTTTATCTGATTTAGAGAATAAAAGACAGTTTAATGGGGAATGGCATTTAAGCGGAGCATTGAAAGCTCAGCAGAATTCAGATAACAGTGAAAACTGGAGAACGCATTCTAGATAAAGAAGATAATGTAAGAAAAAGCACAAAAGCAGAAAACCACAAGATTTGTTTGTAAAATGGTGAATTTTGCTCCCCCCAAAAATTGTGTTCTGAAACCTTCAAGTGACCCCAGTTTTGTTTTGCGGAAGCCCAAACTAGTGTGTTTTTTTTTTTTTACTAGTGTGTGTTTTTACCTGCTGAAACTAGTGTGTATGAGAGTTGAAGTTGGAAAAATAAATTGTGGGCAAACTAAGGAGGGTTTACCACTGTGCTAAGGAATTTTAGGTTTTTAAAAATGCAGTCAATAGAGACTTTTTGAAGATGGTTTTAAGAAAAGGAATGAAAAAATGGCTTTCAGTTAAACATGACAAAATATTTATAGAATATATACTGTGTACCAGGAACTATCCTAGGCGCTGGGTCTATAAATGAGACCTGATGTTGCTTTTTATTGGGCATGTAGTGTAATAACAGAGGCAGACATATAAACAACAACTGCAATAGTAGAAGTTCATACAAACTTCATTGATTAAAAAAAACCTACAAACTCTGGGGTATGTGCAGAGTGGGGGAGGAGAATTTCACACATAAAAGAAGAGCTCTTTAGGCTAATAAGGTAAGGGAAGGCATACTAGGGAGAAGAGGCAAATGCCAAAGAATTTAAGTAGGAAGCAACAGGTTGTGCTATGAGAACCACCAACAATTCAATATTTCTGAAGCCTGAAGTATGTACACGTGTGTATGTGTGCATGCACAAATGTACACAGATGTGATGTGTACACACATGTGCATTGGGGAGGTTCAGTAAAGGTGAGATAGAGACAAAAACAAGAGAAATTTCACCCTATGAAACTGAATTATGAAACATAAAATAGATTATAAAATTATAGAATTTTAACTTCATAGGCAGCATAGCATCTTGGTTAAGAGCATGGCCTCTGGAGTCAGACTGCCTGAGCTGATAGCCCCAGCTCTATCATTTATTAAATATATGCCCTTAAACAAGTTATTCAACCTTATTTGCCTCAATTCTCCTCTATAAGATGGAGGCAATAATATTACATGCATGCATCACTTCATGACATAAGTATAATTTGAGAAATGCATCATTAGGTAATTTTGTCATGTGAACATCACAGAGTGTGCATACACAAACCTAGGTGGTATTGTCTATTCCATCATATAGCTCCATTGTAATCTTATAGGACCACCATCATATATGTGGCCCATCATTGATTCAACTGTGATTATATGAAGCATGCCTATATTTGTTTCATAAAGTCCATATTAAGATTAATGTGCTTGTACTTTTAAAGCACTATTTGTTAGATTTTTTAAAAACCAGATAACTCATATTTGAATATAGGATAGTAATTTGACTGCAGTTTAATCAGTAACATTGACCTATCTACCAAAAAATTATGGGTGGTCAGCTAAATCTAGAGAAGCAGTGAGGAGAGGCCTTCCTTGGTTGTTGAAGTTGACAGAGTCCAGTAAAGAGAGGATCCACGAAGCCACAGACCACAGATGTCTATGCTCAGATGTATTAGAAATTTCTCCTCACTTTTACTTCCTTAAACATATTTATAGGTTAGAAATATCCTGTTGGGAAAACAAGTCAACAAAAATAAATGCTGTGAAGGAGTATTTCTAGAGACTGTGAGAGTCACTCATTTGAGATTAGCAGGCAGAAGGAAGATAGGAGCCACTCTGCCTTAGGAAGCAGCAACAGCAATAGCTGCAGCAAGGCCACTTGCAGGTAACAGCTCCAGAAGTGGCCATACTGAGGAGAGCCACTCAGCTCCTGTGAAAGAATAGAGTTGGCAGTTTGAGGAATATCAGCTCTGTGGGAACCTTTGGACTCCTGATTATTATGACATGTTTCTTAAATTCAAGGATAATAGCAAAAGCTCTTTTGTTCCTTTAGCCCTCCTAACATTTTTGTTATCTAAACTTCTGGAATTCTCTCTCTCATTTCTGAAATGGAAAAACAAACTAAAAATAAAACCCTGAATTAAATTTCTTCCTCCATTAAAAACCTTGAGTCGCTTCTGTGTAATTTGATACTCTTATCTAGGACCAAGTATCTTGACTGAGTAGCTGGGCTTTCGGTGTTTCTTATCCCACTCTCTTAAGCAGGGTCAGTGATGAAAAACTTCTTGAGATTCTGAATACCTACTACACTGGTGATACAAAGACTTTTATGCAGGTTATAGAATTACAACATAAGTTGAATTCAGCTTTGCCATGTCTCCGATATTAAAGCAATGACTGTAAAGGTGTGCCACCTTGAGAATGAGAATTATATTCAGGTGGATTTGATGGATTAGAGAACTTTGAACTGTAGTAACCTACCTTGGGCTAGCATTACTAACTTTATTTTAGCTGTAACCTTTAACCCGGCTTCCCCCTCCCTACCACAGCCCCTCTATGTGCATAACTGGGTCATGCTGCACTTAGAAGTGTTAAAGCCTACTGTTCCGAACACTTGCAACCATTGTAACCGCATTCTGCTTAGCATACCCACCACCCCCGTTGTAAGAAAAAAATTTCCCTTTAATCATTGTATAGGAGCCTAAACACCCGCCTTCTTGGTAACACCTGTGCCCGCAGCCCCTTCCTCTAACCTGCTTTTCTGCTTCTGTAAAATTCCGCTTCAGCTAGGCTCCCCTACCTAAATCAAGGTATAAAAAATAATCAAGCCCCTTCCTCCGGGCCGAGAGAATTTTAAGCATTAGCCAGCTCTTGGTGGCTGGCAAATCAATAAAGAACTCTTAATTTGAAACTCAGAGCGCGTCGTGTTCCTTCTAACTCGCTAATTTACATCATTTGGAAGCCCCTGTGAGAAATTTACCACCAGGTGCAAACTGGGCTCGTTCAGGGATCCCACGCGGGAGGAGGCAGACTACAGAGGAGGCGCCCACTGAGGCGTTCCAGGGCCCCATAAACCACCCCTTACCGGAGGAGAGCGGATCGACTCCCCGTGCGCTCCACCGAATTATTCTTCGGAGTCCCTGGTCCTGCTCCGCGGAGAAGGTAAGTCAGGCCTCATCTGGCTATTCCTGGAAGTTACAGGATCATCCAATTACTGGGACGCCGGAATTGACTAGGGTGATTCCCGTAACTTTGGGCTCTGGGTGCCCCAGAGTCCCTGGTCCTGGATCTCGTTTTTGGCTGGTTTTGGACTGTGGAAGAGTCCTGGTTCTCTCTTTAAACGCGGGAAAAGTCCCTGGTTCTGGTTTTAAACTCTGGAAGAGTCCCTGGTTCTAGTTTTTAAACTCTGGAAGAGTCCCTGGTTCTGGGTTTTGGACTCCAGGTGCCCTAGAGTCCCTGGTCCTGGTTCTCGTTTTTAGCTGGTATTGGACTCTAGAAGAGTCATGGTTCTGGTTTTAAACTCTGGAAAAGTCCCTGGTTTTAGTTTTTAAACTCTGGAAGAGTCCCTGGTTCTGGTTTTTGGATTCTGCGTGCCCCAGAGTCCCTGGTCCTGGTTCTGTCTTTAAACTCTGGGAATCTAAAGTTCCTGGTTCTTTCTGCTTCTGGACTCCGGGTGCCCGAGGTCCTGCTTCTGCCCGTCTGTCTAATCTAGAGGGGTTCAGCCCTAACGAGGGCACCCCTCTAAACTCTATCACTACTCCAAAACGCTGGAGGACAGGGTCCCTGGGTTCTGTCTAATTTAAAACATTTACAAAGAAGGCAAAAATTTCTTCAGGGTTCCAACTGTTTACAAAGTGTAAAAAAACTGTCATAACCTCTGAATAAATGTGTGCATCCATGTGAGTGCGTAGGAACCTTAGAGGCTCGCGTCTAAGAATCCAGTCCTGTGTCTTTAAATCTGCCATGATCATTTATCTACCTGTGTCAGTTGTCCTGTTTTGTTCCTAACATCTGGATTTGTATGTTTCCTGTCTGTTCCGTTTGTCTCTAGCGTTTAAATTTTTATGTCCCGTCGTCCTTATTGCGTGAAACAATTGGGTGAAACTTTTTCAAGGTCCTTAGTGCAGAATTCCGATCTCAGGAAGTCAAATCCCTCATTAGCCGTTTGGGCTGGCCATCTCAGTCTGTCTTTTCTGTCAAAAACAAATCAGTTGTTGTTAACAAAAAAAATTGTGCTAAGCATCCACCAGTCTGGAATTTCTGACCCCATAAAGGTTGTCGGTGCCTAAACTGTCACAGCCCTCTCCCCAGCAACTAGTCTGACCCCTCCTTGGCTGAGCCGGACTTCTCCTTTGCTCCCACCTCAGCCTCCTGCTCCGCTGGGATCCCCTCCTTCTCCTCGTCCTCCTGTGGTCTCTCCGCCTATCGCCTCCCAACTGCGGCCTCGGCTGGAGGAGGCTGCCCCACTCCTCCCCTTAAGGGAGCCACCACCCCCACCAGGTAGCGCAAAGCTGTCCCGTTTTTGGTCTATGTCCCTTTTTCTACTTCTAACCTGTACAACTGGAAGGCTCAAAATCGCACCTTTCTCTAAAAAATCTCAGGTCCTAACCTCACTGGTTAAATCCATACTTTGGACTCACCGGCCCACCTAAAATAATTGTCAACAGCTTCTCCTCTTTTTTCTTCTAACAAAAGGGACCTTATTTAAAGGAAGGCCAAAAAGTTTTTCCTTACTTCAGTCAGTATGCCAAAGGAGGGAGCCCAAAACCTCCTAAAACTCAACAAATAAATTCTAAATTAAAAAATATTCAATCTGCCATAAAAATGTTACATAAGTAAAATCTTTAAAGTTGTTCTCCAAAATCGCCAAGGCTTAAATCTAGTATTCCTCTCCCAAAAAGCTTTATGTGCAGCACTGAATAAAAGTTGTTTTTATACTAACAACTCCAGAGTCATAAAAAACACCCTCCAAAAGGTCCAAAACAATATAAATAAACGCCAACAAAATCAAAAAAATACCTCATAGTTCCAAAACATGTTCAACTAAAGCCCATGGTTAACTACCTTTAGTAACTGGGCTAGTAAAACCTCTTCTCCTTCTCCATTAAGTTTAATCTTTAAACCCTGCATATTAAACTGGCTCCTTACTTTTATAAGGCAGTGCATAAATTCTGTTAAACTCATGTATCTCAAAAGCCACTCTAACCCCCTTATAACTAAGGAGTGAATGTTTTAACTCCCCCAAAACACAAGTGTGGAATGTAATAACCTACCCTGGGCTAGCATCACTAACTCCATTTTAGCTGTAAACTCCAACCTGGCTTCCCCTTCCCTACCACAGCCCCTCTAAGTGCTTAACTGGGTTATGCTGCACTTAGAAGTGTTAAAGTGTACTGTTCTTAACACTTGTCACCATTGTAACCGCATACTGCTTGGCATAACCCCATACCCCCTCCCACCTCACCTCCCCTCATTGTAAGAAAAAACTTTCCCTTTAATCATTGTATAGAAGGAGCCTAAACACCCCACTACTTGGTGACACCTGTGCCCGCAGCCCCTTCCTCTAACGGGCTTTTCTGCTTCTGTAAAATTCCACTTCAGCTAGACCCCCCTCCCCTACCTAAATCGAGGTATAAAAAATAAGCCCCTTCCTCGGGGACTGAGAGAATTTTAAGCATTAGGCATCTCTCGGTTGCCTGCAAATCAATAAAACACTCTTAATTTAAAACTCAAAGCGTGGTGTATTCCTCCTAACTCGCTCAGTTACAACAGAACTCCCATATAATCATGAGCCTCCCTTGACTGTAAGAGCAACCCTTTCTTTATTTTAGGAAATGAGACATCTCTCACTTGAAGAGCATCAATGACCTTATCTAATGATTCCTATTTTCTCAATCTTGATCCCCCTAGCTTCTATTTCCATTTAACTAGCATCAGATACCTCAGATATGCCCCAGTGGAACAAATATAAAGTCTCAGTATCAAGGAGATAATGTAGCCACTGAAAGTTTTGCAAGATTTTGACAATTTATATCGGCAAAGAATAAGAAATTCCTGTGAGATTGTACTAGAACAAGGAGGAGGAAATCGCCTTACACTGAGATGAATTTGGTATGGCTGCACTTACCTGACAGTTATGGACTGAATTCTATCCTTCCTGCCCAAATTTGCATCTTTAAGTCCCAACGTCAGAACCTCAGAATGTATCCATATTTGGGTAATAGGATGTTGGAAGAGAGGAAGTCTGTTGATAGTACTCAAAACACATACAGAGTGGGGTATTAACAAAATGGCAGCAAAACCAGAGAGCAATTACAATGTTTCACCTGCAGGGAGTTTTGGCAGTGGCTAAGTAAGCGTGGTGTTCCTAGGAATGAAAGCTCAAGAGCCTACTAAAACATTACATGCTCTAAATAACATAAAAATAAAACTTTAGATCTGGTACTCGGAGCTCTGACTTGAGTTGTCACAATGGCTTTTTTTTCTGGTCCCGATGCCTAAAATAACACAGATCAAGAGTCACTTTATTTAAGGGGAAATCAGATTCCCTTGCAATACTGTCACAAGTAATACTGTAAATCTTCATCTTTGCTAAAGAAATTGAAGAAATGAAGGGAAACATCTAGACCTTTGGAGGATTACTAAACAATGGCTCTGATTTGACATTAATCCTCAGAGACCTAAAATAACACAGTAGTTCAATAGTCCAAATAGGAGGTCAGGTGTTAAATTGAATTTTGGTCTAAGACCTTCTCAAATACAGTTGCAGTGATTATGCAGACATAATCAGTTCCTGAAAGTGTAGTTGAAATAGACATTTTTGGCAACTTGTAAAATCCCCACATTGGCTTTCTGACCTGTTCAGTGAGGTTTATTATTATGAAAGACCAAGTAGAATCCACTGAAATGTCAATACCTACTAAAATAGAAAATCAAATGTAATACTGCATCTCTGGGGCATTTCAGGAAGCAGTGCCACTATCAGAGATTTGAAGGATGCAAAGTAGTGATTCCTATAACATCTTCAGTTAACTCACTTTTTGACTTATGAAAAAGTCCTATGGGTCCTGGAGAAAGACTATGCATTATCTTAAACCTAACCAGGTGGTTACTCCAATTGCAGCTTCTGTTACAGATTGAGCTCTTAATTGGAGCAAATCAACACAGCCACTGGCATTTGGTACAGAGTTACTGGGTTGAAAAATGCTCTTCTAACACTGGTTAGTGATGACTAGAAGAAAGAGTTTGATTTCGTCTGACAGTGACAACTGTTTGCCTTAGTGTTATCTCAGACATATGTCAGCTCTTTGACTCTTTGTCGTGATCTATATTACAAGACTGTTGGCCATTTTGCTTTACAAAAACGCCCACTGGCCCCTTGCATTAACAACATACTGTTAATTAGACATCATTGCAAGAAATGTCTTAAAAGACTTGGCAAAACACAAAAATCCCAGTGTGGAAGACATATTTGTGAAAACTCTGGAGATTTACTAAGGTTTGTTTGAATATAGTAATGAGACATAAACAAAATGAAAAATAATTTTCTTAGTGGTACAATCTATTACGAACAAAAAGGCATATGTTTAGTAGACGTACCTGGATTTCACAAACAACATATACTCTATTAATGGGTGCTTCACATATTCAATTACTAAATAACCCACAAGCTTAATAGTTTTAAGAGGTACCTAAGCAAGAAAAAAATTTGTAACAGATCAGTGAGTATACAGTACGTCATCAACAAGTTGCAGTAGATATACAAGATTGGGCATGAATAGGTT